TGTGTGATTATCTTGTGGGGGGGGGAGGTGAGGAATAAATGCATTACAGAGTTAGTGGATGATTGGCTGAATGAAACATACGCCAATAACAAAACTGTATTTTAAAAATTCAACTGCATTTCCTTCCGTTCCGAATACTTCCGTTTCGAATCGTGTTGCTGTCATTGATGCTCGTGTGACTGTTTTTTTTATTTATTAATCTTTAATCTATCAGTTAGAATTTATTAGTGCACACACACACACACACACACATATATTACATATACATACATACACATACACACACACACACCGTATCGAATCTCGTTGCTCGAAAATTGAGACCCAATCTTCCAACACACATCTCACGTGACCTCTGACCTCCCTAGACGCCGACGCGCTGACTTCGCCCGCCTGGTGATGACCTCGTGCCAACGCCTCCGCGACACCCACCGCCCACGCCCGCCGGATCTCAGCCACGTCCTCACCCACCGCCTGCCGAGCGCCCTCAAAACCAAGTACGCCCGTATCCTGCAGGATCTCTTCAAGGAACTGCGGGAGAGAGAGGTCCGGCCCGTGCACATGAGGCCCCTGAAGCAGTGGGACACGTAATGACCTTTTGTAGCTTTTCCCTCGTGTAGTTTGACCTCGTGGGTGAAGCGGTTTGATTACTGATACGCTCGTAGGTTGTGTGGATATTGGCTTTATGTTTTTTGGGAGAGGCTAGATCAGTAGCAAGTCGAGGTGTCATGGCGACTTTTTTTATGATTATTCAATGAAAATATATCCATTAAAATCATTATTTTCCATTTTTTTGAAAACTGAAGAGATCACAATGATTCACAAAGCATCCGTAACTTTTGAGACATCAAAATAAACCCCATGTGCTTTTTACCAAAAATAGAATCTGACGTCATGACACCTCTTGGAGTTGCTACTGATTTTTTTTTCGCTTTATGTTATGGTGCAGTTTTCTGTTTTTTTACGCCTCTCAATTGGGTGACTTTTCTTTGTACTTTGTTTAGACTACTTTATTGTAATTTTCCAGTGTAATTAATAATTCAGGGAAAAATAAAAGTCCATCCGAAAGACGAGTGTGGTGACAGACAACAAAAATAAAAAACAAAAAATCGACTTTTTAACTAAAACATCAAAATAAAATAAAACATGACTGAAAGAATCTAAAAAATAACGATGAATCTATTCTTTAACCTTTTACATTGCAGGTACGAGGCGCAAGTGGTCGAGCGTGTTCCGTGGGTGGGCAAGGAACGGCGTGCGCTTAGTCGCGCCATGGCCAGCTTCCCGCCGGCGGTGAGGACGGTCATGGCGGAGGTGCTGCGCCCGCTCGACACTCTCTCCCTCGCTGACATATCTGACGGGTAAGCCTAGGCTGGTGGAGGGTGTGTGGTACGAAGACACTGGTTGGAATCGTTTGTCTGTCTGTCTGTCTCTCTGTACATATATATATATATATATATATATATATATATATATATATATATATATATAATATACTTGTGTGTATTCTAATTATTTTCTTTGCTATTATTTCTTAAAATATTCGTACACAGTAATTTGTAAAACAAATTTCTGTTCAAAAGAAAATAGGAGAAAGGTGATAGTAACAACAGCAGTAACTATGAACTATATTAAGAAATTGAATGGATAATACACGGATGTGCGCGAACCCCTCTTGTATTAAAGTTCATTAACCTTTAACAAAAAGATGAAACATATTGAAAACGAACCTCCCTCCAAACCCTCAGTTTCGAAACCCGAATCCGAAGCTCGTTTCGGCGCGAGTCGGTGACCCAGCGTGCTTCGCTCGTCAGTGGCGGGAAACTGCAGTAAATTTTAAAATAGTCCGTCGCACAGACCAATGCAAACCTCTCCCCAATATTATTACATCTCATTAAATTAATTATCGAAGAAAATAACGAAGGACGAGCACAATGACCCATGGATATGTTTTTTTTTTTTTTTTTTTTTTTTTTTTTTTTCTTCTTCTACGTCTTGAGGATATACCTCACAGTGGCGCGGAAAAGCCTCCGATATATTCGCGTTTCCCTGTTCTTCCCTTCGTTCCTTTATCTAACAGTTTAATCAACATGAATCTTACAAGTCACATGATTCGTCAGCCACAGCAATCTCCAAACAATCTTACAATTTTGACATACCTTTCACCACCTCCTCGACTCATCATCCACAACGCCCACCCTCTAATAACGTCAAACCACACTAAACAACAACAATAACCACAACACACCCACCTCGACCCCCAGGGGCATGGGCAGCGGCGAGGGCGTGGAACTGACGGTCCTGATCACGCGGTGGCGGGCGGCGGCGAGGTCGGGGCGAGCGAGGCTTCGAAGCTCCTGGTTCACTGAGTCGCTCTCGGCCATCAGGGAAGCCGCCCTCGCCACCAACCTCTCTCCCTCGCGGCGCCTGACGGTCATGCACGCCTTCAACAACCTCCTGGCGTCGAAGGTAAGGTGTCGGTGGGCGGGGAGGAGGGGGTATGAACACGGAAAAAGGTGTGGATGAGATTGAATCGTGTTTTCAAAGCGAGAGAGTAAGGTTTGTTTCAGTTAAATGTCATTCGGATTGTAACTGGGTTAGGAAATACAACGATAATTATTTTTTTTCTTAATGTATTCAGTCTTATTCATTTCTTTGCTACAAAGCAATTGCAGGAGTACGCAGACTTGTTTTGGTTTGAGTTTCTCCGGGATATATATTTTGTGTGTGTGTGTGTCTGCGTTATTTTCAAACTAGACTATTGATTGAATAAAGAGAAAGAAGAGAAAAAAAATGCTTGTAAATCCTAAATAACTCGGGAGGCAAAGTGAGTTGAGCATGGGAATTGCTTGTTATTTTCTAAGTAAAATAAAAATAAAATATAAATCGAAAATAACTCTTCTACCTATTGACAGCTCCAAGAAGTGCTGATCCGAAGTGTCGAGGACGTGCTGAAGTGGCTGGGGAGCGAGGAGGAGCCGTGGGTCGGGCCTCGACTCAAGCTCTACCTCGGGCTGGAGGACAACGAGGTGTGTCTCCGCCCAGACGAGTCGGAGCTCTACTCGGCCTTCACGGATCTCTTCAAGGAGGTACAACACGACTCACTCCGAGGGATTCAGATGTTTTGTTTATTATTATAATTTTTGTAAAGTATAAACCGTGTTGATCGCGACATACGTAGAAGAAGTATGAATGAGAATGGATATCTTATCACAAGGAAAGAGACCGGTTTCGATTATATCTTAGATATATTACATATTTGATATATCTATGATGCAGATATAATCGAAGCTGGTCTAATACATCTCATGCACAGTAAAGATAAAGTATTAATTCTCCTCCATACTTTTTCTACATGTCACGAGGATCATGCATTTCCATATATACATAACCGACGCATGAAATAAAAGAGAAAAGAGAGAAAAACTCGAATCTCCTCCGTCTGTGCCCTCCAGTTCGACGAGTGCGTGCAGCTCTACCGCGGGACGTGGGACGAGCCTCGGCCGCCGAAGGTCCCGAAGTGGAGGCAGCGAGCCGCGACGATGGGTCCTCCGGGAGAGGAGGACGTGGCTCCTCCGCTCAGGCCGCTGGAGCCGCGACGAGAGACGTTGGTCGTCACGCTGTCGGAGCCGCAGTGGGACAGCTTCCGGTCCTGCCTCAGCGCCAACATCAGGAGGCGATTCGAGAAGGCCGGCGAGTTCCTCACGCAGATCGGTAACTCTGGCGGCGGTTTGGGTAGTTTGTGTGCGGCCCTTGGAATGTGCGTTTGGGAAGGGGATGTGCGGGGGCGTGTTGTTCCGGGTGAGGCCAAGCAGCTCTAGGTTAACCGTTAAGCAACAAAGGCAGCATTTCTTTAACTGTTTCTGCTTTATTTCACTACATCAACGACATGAAATACGTGGAAATAGTGTCATTTGAAAGTCCGAAGCAGGGCCATTAGCAAGGCATTTTAAAAGAACCAAGGACAGCACTGGAAGACCAGATTGCAAATTTTGATTTTATTTAGAGGAGGCATCATGAGTGAGCTGTTGTGCTTTGGACAGAAGCTAGCTTCCACTGGGCCTTAATATAATTTGGTTTTAGGGTTTCGTTATTATTATTATTATTATTATTATTATATATATATATACATATATATATATATTATATTATATATATACATATACATATATACATACATATATATATATATATATATATATATATATTATATATATATATATGTGTGTGTGTGTGTGTGTGTGTGTGTGTGTGTGTGTGTGTTTTAAGACGTCGACTAAGTAGAGATAGGAAGAGATGATACTCACTAGAGAGATATTACGAATATTTTTTTTTTCAAAGCACTCGTTAAGGATTCCCTGCATGGCTAAAGTATGCTTAGCAAGGCAAATTCACACGCCATCACAACCTTCTCACAGCCACGGAATGGGCGCCGGTGCTGCAAGGCAGCGTGAGGCAGGAGGTGGACGCGTTTCTGCAGCAGGACGCGCAGCTGGAGGAGTACGCGGGACAGGTGCACCACTACTCCTCCTACGTGGAACAGGCCAGCCACGTGCCCACTTCTGCCATGCTCTTTGTCTTCAGGTGATTTTTGGCGTAGGATTTTTGTTTTGAGAAAAATGGCGTTTGGTGATTGATTGGCTTATTTACTCTTGTGTGTGTAGATATTAAAGATGGTGATACATTTTGGTGTTATTTTAAATCTTTACTAAATTCGTTTAATTCCATTTACCATAGACTTTCATAATTAAAAAATTACATTATTATCTATCATATTTTTTTTATTATAAGGAATGCACTGTCTGAGCGAACAATTAGCCTCTTATTTTATTCCTCATGACCTTCCCTTCTGCAGACTGGAGTACAAGTTCCTCCGGCAGAGCCTCTTGTCCGTGACCTCGACCTTCGTGTCCGTTCTCAAGGACAGACTCATTGCTGACCACCGCGAGACGACACAAAGGTGAGATAAAAATCGTTGGAGCTGATAAGTAAACCTACTTGCGGGGATTGTGGTGTAAATCTAGAGAAAATGCATTATTTATTATAACTTCAAATTAGTTATAATGATGAAGAACTATAAAACAAGTTACTGTACTTGAAACAATAATTAGGAACGAGTAAATGAAACATACATTAATTCGTTTTCCATATGGGTAACTTAAGCAATTATTTTTTTTTCTGAGAACAATTAAGAACGAATAAATTAATCCTGTTTGGGAAGAACTTTAAACAATTTACTGTACTTAAAACAATAATTAGGAATGAGTAAATGAAACATACATTAATTCGTTTTCCATATGGGTAAACTTAAAACAATTTATTTTACTTAGAACAATTAAGAACGAATAAATTAATCCTGTTTGGAATGTCTTTCCCCGTCGATTTCCTAAAACCAGCGTCTTTTGTTTCCTTTCCGAAGCCTGAATCAGCAGTTCGAGACGATTCACAAACGGATCCAAGTGACTCCGACTTCGACCGACGAACTCTTCAAGCTGATGGAGTACGTGGAGGAAGTGAGGAGGATCACCATCCACCGCCTGATTGAGGAGGTGCAGGAGATGGTGGCCAGGCTCAAGGTGAGGAAGGGAGTTTATGAGTATCATTATATATGTTATTTTATTTTATTTTATTTGCATTATTGTAATTCTCATCGTTATTGTAGTCATCATCGTCATCATCATCATCATAGTCACTTATCTGATCGTGCTAAGATTTTGATGAATATACCCAGGACTATCCTCCTAATTTAACTTGTAATTAACTAATTCCAGCCTCATATAACGAAACACGACCTACAGTTCCGACTGAAACCTAAACTATATTAGAGCTAGCAAATTAAACTTAAACCACGAACATAAACTAAACTTCAAAATTATATGTATTTTTTCGCTTATACTGAAGCTCCCTGAATAATGTGATAAATTCATTTTGAAAAAAAAATCGATGGCTGATTTGACTCCAAATCAAAATTTCTTATATATTTTTACTTATCAGTGATAACCATTGAAGCCCTTTAATAATAAGTGATGAATTAATTGAAAAACCTCGATTGCAGGTAATTTTTGGATGTGGTGCATCTGACTCCTATTCAAAATTACCAATATTTTTTGCATCTCAATTGTTTATATATATTTTTTACTTATCAGTGACAACCAGTGAGGCCCCTTGATAATAAGTGATGGATTCATTAAAAAAAAAAAAAAATCGATTGCAGGTGATTTTGGATTTGGCGCATTTGAACAAAATTACCTATATTCTTTTCGAATCTCAGTTTCTTATATATAGATTTTTTACTTATCAGTGCTAACCGTTGATAATAAATGATGGATTAATTGAAAAAACCTCGATTGCAGGTAATTTTGGATGTGGTGCATCTGACTCCAGACGACCTGAACACTACCGCCGCCGTTATAACGTGGCCCACCAAACTGAAACCTGTTGTTGATCACGCTGTTGAGGTGAGTTTAGCAGCTGTAGATGAGATTATGGATAAATACGTGTATGGAAATTATCAGATATGTAAAAAGATTAAATCGCCTTAAATATGTCCCTAGATATGTATGGAAATTGCCAGACATGTAAAAAAAAAATAATAGCATTCTGTCCTACCTACCGACGCCATTGTACTGACGCGATGCTACTCCTTTCAAAATCCTTGTAAAATAGCGGTATTTCGATAACTAATCCACTACACTTCATTGCTCTTCACTTCAACAGTCTTTAGAGGACCTGAAACAAGAATTCGAAGAGACGCTGGTGGAGAGAGCGGGAGAAGTGTCCCACACCCTCGAAAGGATCCAGCAGTTCGTCACCGAGTTGGAGGAACTGTCCGACGTCGCGCATGTAAACAAATACATCCGGGTACGAGGCTCTTCGGGATTCTAGTGGATGAGATTGCTGTATTTTTTTTTTTTTTTTTTTTTGTGTGTGTAGTTTTGTGTTATTACTAGTAGTAGTAGTAGTAGCAATAGTTGCTGTTATAAATAGTTTTACCATTGTAATCATGGTATGAATAACGACAATAATGATAATGATAAGAGTAGTTTAGTAGTAAACAGCAAGGACATATGTAACAATATGATGATAATTTCCCAGTATTTCCAGTAAATAAAAACCCAATTGTATTTTCCCCAAAAATATATATTTTTCCCACAATTATATCTTTTCCCATCATGTCCGTCTTCAGGAAGTGAGAAAACTCGAAGGGCGTCTGGAGAAGGTGAGCACCCTGGTGTCGTGGGTCAACCAGGAGGAAGCTCTCTTCAAATTCCAGCTCTCCTCTTTCCCTCTCCTGTCGGAGCTCAAGGTGCGTAGAGTGGAGGTGTTGGCGTTTTATAATATTTATAATATAATTTTATAATATTTATAATCCTTTTTCTTATTTATATAACTTGGATGTGGTAAGCTGTGCATTGTTTAATAATATGATCTTTGCTGGCTTAAAAAATGCTGTATCCCATCAAAACTTTTATATCTTACTAAAACGAAATATGAATAAAGCATTACATAATTACCGATACATTAGCGCAGTTACTTTATCTCAACAAATAGAAAAATTATATTAGCTTGGTCAACACAGGGAAAAAACAACCAAACAAAAAACAACATGAAATCACACACTGACCCAATTGACCCAACACACAGAAAACACACTGACCTTTGACCCGATATGGATAAAAAAAAAGATCGAACCGCCCTTCTTCTACCCTCCAGGAGTGCCTCGTGCCCTACGACGAGCTCTTCACCCTGGTCATGAAGTGGCGGAAGTACGAGAAGCACTGGATGGATGGCGACTTCACGAGTCTCGACCCGGAATTCATCGACGTCGAGACCGAGGAGTTGGCGAGGTGAGGGGGGAAGGGGAGGGGGAGGTGGCAAGGAAGAGAGAATGAGGTGGATGAGTGATAGGGGATGGGTAGGGTGAGAAAATGGGAGGTGATAGGGAATGGGAGGTGAATGAATAGGTGAGAGTGATAGGGGATCGGTAGGGTGATAAATAGGAGGTGATAGGGAATGGGTAGGGGAGGTGAATGAATAGGTGGAAGGGAATAAGCAGAGTAGGTGAACGGGCAGGGTAGGTAAACGGACAGGTGGCAAGGAATGGGCAGGTGAGGTGAATGAACAGGTAAAAGGGAATGGGCAGAGTAGGCTAATGGGCAGGTGACTAGGAATGGGCAGGTGAGGTGCATGAACAGCTGAAAGGGAATGGACAAGCGACAATTTGGGGCAAGGGAGGTGAATGGGCAGGTGACAAGAAATAGAGAGATGAGGTGAATGAATAGATGACGAAAGATGATCAATGAAAAGTGACTGCTAGGAAATAGGCAAGGGAAAAGGCACACGGGTGACAGGAAGCAGATAAGTTTAATAAATCTGTAACAATAAATTACCATATGAGTTGAGTGGCCCGCTGAGTGTACAAGGGACTAATCAAGTAAGAATTAATTAGCAACAGCGGTGAGGGAGCAGAAGAGAGTGAATTAATTAGGGGAATTCTCTCTAGTGAGGGGAATCAGCAGGTATCAGAAATAGCCAGGTGAGGGGAGTAGAGAGGCAATAAGAGGAGTGAAAGGACAATGACACTAAAGGGAAATGCCCAGGTGAGGGGATCGGGCAGGTGAGGATAGCATAGCGAAATGAGTTGAGTAATTACGGGTATAGAGTGAATGGCAATGAAGTATGTAAGTTGACGAGTGGATGTGGATGTATGAATATGGAGAGAAATTGACTTCTGATGAATGCCATAAATTATGCGGAATAAGTCAAATGATACTTATGAATAATAAAAGTGTAAAAGTTAAGTATATTAGTTAAATGGATAACTGAATAAGTGATGTGAGCTTCACCAGAATTGCATTATATTTAATCAAAAATTCCTTACAGGTTATATGTCATTTCATGGAAAAGTGTCAGTTATATATCTTTCCTTGATATTCATTCTCATTTATATTTTTTCTGACATTAGTCACGATCAACCACGAAAATTAGTTTACAGAAAGAAATGACATGAGGGGATTGGACAAATATCAAGGTAAAGAGAGGGTTTTAGTCATTATATCATTATAACAAATACATTAGCACAGTCATTTATCAGAACAGGAAAAAAAAGTTTTCTAACGGGCAAGACGGGAAGAGTAACCTGAAGAACTTACATTATCTATAACGAAGCATAACTCCAAAAAATGTTCAAGACGAAGATGCAGTTTTAGAAATTATCCATTATTAATTATACCATTTGTATTTTATTAAGATAAAAAATTGTATTACTGATATACTCCTGTGTCATTATTTCAGGGCTAACTTCACTGTATAAGCAGAAAGTCTATGTTAAAGTCGCATTATTTAGCACATATCTGACATAAAATGTTCTCTAACACCCTAAATGATAGAAAATAAAAACATTTAGTAAAAACAATATCTATAGTACACAAACATAATCATTATGTCTATTAAACATAAATATTATATCAAACTATATTAAACGGAAACCATAACGATATCATATTCTGTTCTCTTTTGATGTTAAATATTTATGCAAAAAAAAATATCAATGGGTCTTGAATAATAGACATCAATCTGCTGTATATAATTATGTCTCGTCCAATATTTTTTTTTTTTTTCGCAGACCTACTCTATATACTGTCCAAAAAAAGGAAAAACTGGCAACTCACTCTGGGCTCTGTAGGACACCGATTCGCTGCGTCACTTTAAAGAACAAAGATAAACAAACAAATAAATACTAAAACATAAGCAGAAAAAATAAAAATCATTAAGAAAATGAATATAACTTCTAAAAATGCTAAACTTGTGTAAATATCGGTATCGAGTGTCAGCTGATTACAATAATAAAGAGATATTTGTCGAATCAGATTATTCCAGAGTTAGAGATCAGTTGCCAGTTTCTCCTTTCTCGAGATGAAACATTATTAACGTATACTCATGTATTATATATTGTATGAAGTCTCCATACCACATGTGTAGCCTGTACAAAGTTAAGCTGTAGTTCCTTTTTTTGTTTTTGCTTCCCCGTGTCCTGCAGAGAGCGTACATCTCCCGACGCCACAGAGCGGTATTTTATTTTGTCTAGAATAGTTATCTTCGCTTGTCCGTTCCTTCTGGTTCCCGTTTTCTTTCGCCTGTCCATTCCTTCTGGTTCCCGTTTTCTTCGCTTTTGATTTCCTTCGTTTTCTTTGCTTGTCCTTTGTTTCCTTCTGGTTCCCTTTCGCTTTCCATGATTTTCCTTCTGGTTCCCGTTTTTTTCGCATGTCCATTGATTTTTCTTCTGGTTCCGTTTTCTTTCGCTTGTCCATTGATTTTCCTTATGGTTCCCGTTTTCTTTCTCTTATCCAATGATTTTCCTTCTGGTTCCCGTTTTCTTTCGCGTTGTTTATTTTCCTTCTGGTTCCCGTTTTCTTTCGCTCGTCCATTGATTTTCCTTCTGGTTCCCATTTTCTTTCGCTTGTCCTTTGATTTTCCTTCTGGTTCCCGTTTTCTTTCGCTTGTCCTTTGATTTTCCTTCTGGTTCCCGTTTTCTTTCGCTTGTCCTTTGATTTCCCTTCTGGTTCCCGTTTTCTTTCGCTTGTCCTTTGATTTTTTCGCCTTTGATTTTCCTTCTGGTTCCCTTTTTCTTTCGCTTGTCCTTTGATGATTTCCTTCTGGTTCCCGTTTTCTTTCGCTTGTCCTTTGATTTTCCTTCTGGTTCCCGTTTTCTTTCGCTTGTCCTTTGATTTTCCTTCTGGTTCCGTTTTTTCTTTCGCTTGTCCTTTGATTTTCCTTCTGGCCGTTTTTCTTTCGCTTGTCCTTTGATTTCCCTTCTTTCCCGTTTCTTCGCTTGTCCTTTGATTTTCCTTCTGGTTCCCGTTTTCCTTCGCTTGTCCTTGATTTTCCTTCTTTCCCGTTTTCTTTCGCTGTCCTTTGATTTTCCTTCTTCCCATGTCCTTTGATTTTTCTGGTTCCCGTTTTCTTTCGCTTGTCATTGATTTTCCTTCTTTGTTCCTTGTCCGGTTCCCGTTTCTTTCGCTTGTCCATTTGATTTTCCTTCTGGTTCCCGTTTTCTTTCGCTGTCCATTGATTTCCCTTCTGGTTCCCGTTTTCTTTCGCTTGTCCATTGATTTTCCTTGTGGCTCCCGTTTTCTTTCGCTTGTCCTTTGATTTCCTTCTGGTTGTTTCTTTCGCTGTCCATTGATTTTCCTTCTGGTCCCGTTTTCTTTCGCTTGTCCATTGATTTCCTTCTGGTTCCCGTTTCTTTCGCTTGTCCATTGATTTTCCTTCTGGTTCCCGTTTTCTTTCGCTTGTCCTTTGATTTCCCTTCTGTTCCCGTTTCTTTCGCTTGTCCTTTGATTTTCCTTCTGGTTCCCGTTTTCTTTCGCTTCTTTGATTTCCTCTGGTTCCCGTTTTCTTTCGCTTGTCTTCCTTCTGGCCGTTTTCTTTCGCTTGTCCATCGATTTTCCTTCTGGTTCCCGTTTTCTTTCGCTTGTCCTTTGATTTTCCTTCTGGTTCCCGTTTTCTTTCGCTTGTCCATGATTTTCCTTCTGGTTCCCGTTTTCTTTTTCCTTTGATTTTCCTTCTGGTTGTTTTCTTTTTGTCCTTTGATTTTCCTTCTGGTTCCCGTTTTCTCTTTCGCTTGTCTTTGATTTTCCTTCTGGGTCCCGTTTTCTTTCGCTTGTCCATCGCTTGTCCATTTGATTTTCCTTCTGGTTCCCGATTTCTTTCGCTTGTCTTTGATTTTCCTTCTGTTCCCGTTTTCCCCAGTTTTCTTTTGCTTGTCCATTGATTTTCCTTCTGGTTCCGTTTTCTTTCTTATGGATTCCCTTCTGGTTTTCTTTTGCTTGTCCTTTGATTTTCCTTCTGGTCCCGTTTTCTTTCGCTTGTCCTTTTGATTTCCCTTCTGGTTCCCGTTTTCTTTCGCCCTTTGATTTTCCTGGTTTCCGTTTTCTTTCGCTGTCCTTTTGATTTTCATTCTGGTTCCCGTTTTCTTTTCGCTTGTCCTTTGATTTCCCTTCTGGTTCCCGTTTTCTTTCGCTTGTCCTTTGATTTTCCTTCTGGTTCCCGTTTTCTTTCGCTTGTCCTTTGATTTTCCTTCTGGTTCCCGTTTTTTTTCGCTTGTCTTTGTTTCCCTTCTGGTTCCGTTTTCTTTTGTTCCGCTGTTCCGTTTCTTTCGCTTATCCTTTTGATTTTCCTTCTGGTTCCCGTTTTCTTTTGCTTGTCCATGATTTTCCTTCTGGTTCCCGTTTTCTTTTCGCTTGTCCATTGATTTTCCTTCTGGTTCCCGTTTTCTTTTCTTGTCCTTTTGATTTTTCTTCTTTCCCGTCTTTGATTTTCCCTTCTGGTTCCCGTTTTCTTTCGCTTGTCCTTTGATTTTCCTTCTGGTTCCCGTTTTCTTTCGCTTGTCCTTTGATTTTCCTTCTGGTTCCCGTTTCTTTCGCTTGTCCTTTGATTTTCCTTCTGGTTCCCGTTTTCTTTCGCTTGTCCATGGTTCCCGTTTTTCTTTCGCTTGTCCATGATCCGTTTTCCTTGTCCTTTGATTTTTCTTCTGGTTCCCGTTTTCTTTCGCTTGTCCTTTGATTTTCCTTCTGGTTCCCGTTTTCTTTCGCTTGTCCTTGACTTGTTTCCTTCTGGTTTTCTTTCGCTTGTCCTGATTTCTTCTGGTTCCCGTTTCTTTGCTTGTCCATTGATTTTCCTTCTGGTTCCCGTTTTTTCTTTCCTTTCCTTGTCCAATGATTTTCCTTCTGGTTCCCGTTTTCTTTCGCTTTCCATTGATTTCCTTTTTCCCGTTTTCTTTTTCGCTTTGATTCCCTTCTAGTTCCCGTTTTCTTTCGCTTGTTTTTGATTTTCCTTCTGGTTCCCGTCTTTCTTTCGCTTTCCTTTGATTTCCCTTCTGGTTCCCGTTTTCTTTCGCTTGTCCATTGATTTTTCCTTCTGGTTCCCGTTTTCTTTCGCTTGTCCTTTGATTTTCCTTCTGGTTCCCGTTTTTCTTTCGCTTGTCTATTGATTTTCCTTCTGGTTCCCGTTTTCTTTCGCTTGTCCATTGATTTTCCTTCTGGTTCCCGTTTTCTTTCGCTTGTCCTTTGATTTTCCTTCTGGTTCCCGTTTTCTTTCGCTTGTCCTTTGATTTTCCTTCTGGTTCCCGTTTTCTTTCGCTTGTCCTTTGATTCGGTTCTCCGTTTTCTTTCGCTTGTCCTTTGATTTTCCTTCTGGTTCCCGTTTTCTTTCGCTTGTCCTTTGATTTTCCTTCTGGTTCCCGTTTTCTTTCGCTTGTCCTTTGATTTCCCTTCTGGTTCCCGTTTTCTTTCGCTTGTCCTTTGATTTTCCTTCTGGTTCCCGTTTTCTCTCTGGCATGCCATCGAGTTCGCTTTCCTGTCGGCTGCTGGATTCAAGACCTTTCTTGGAAGTTCTTGGTGCTGCGTTCATGATTTCGTCATTATATTGTTGTTGTTATTGCTATCATTGTTATTATTATTTTCATTATTGTTGGTGTTATTTTCATTATTATTATAATTGTTGTTGTTGATAGCTTTTATTATTATTATGATTATTATTATTAATATCATCATCATCATTATCAACTTTAGTATAATTATCACTATCATCATCAGCAGCAGCAGCAATAATAAAAAAAAAAAAAAAAAAAAAACATCGTCATCATAATCAGTATCATTAAGATTTTTTTTTTATTATTATTGCCTTAATTGCTCTTATTGTCATTAATACCATAATTCTTATTATGTAATTGTTACCAATATTATTACTCTTTTATCATTATTATTATTATCGTTATTTTTTTCAATTATAATCGTTATTACTTTTATTACTATTATTCAAGTTGTTATTACTATTCAATTATCTAGATGGCGATGCAATCTGCTTTCGAAATGATTAATTGCTTGCGAATATGGTGTCTGGCTTGAAGTGAAAAAAAGCAAATTGGAGTTTTCGTTTCCATTTTTTTAAACAAAACATAATTCTCTTTTTATCTTTAATAGAGGAAATCACTTGAATCCGTCCCCGTTTTTGTGGAATTGTTCATTGGTTTTCCTTCTGTTTCCCGTTTTCTTTCGCTGTCCAATGGTGTTTCTTCTGGTTCCCGTTTTCTTTCGCTTGTCCAATGGTGTTCCTTCTGGTTCCCGTTTTCTTTCGCTTGTCCAATGGTGTTCCTTCTGGTTCCCGTTTTCTTTCGCTTGTCCATTGGTGTTCCTTCTGGTTCCCGTTTTCTTTCGCTTATCTTTGATAATTATTTCTGGTTCCCGTTTTCTTTCGCTTTGTCCAATGGTGTTCCTTCTGGTTCCCGTTTTCTTTCGCTTGTTCATTGGTGTTCCTTCTGGTTCCCGTTTTCTTTCGCTTATCCTTTGATATTATTCTGGTTCCCGTTTTCTTTCGCTTTGTCCAATAGTGTTCCATTCTGGTTCCCGTTTTTTCTTTCGCTTGTTCATTGGTGTTCCTTCTGGTTCCCGTTTTCTTTCGCTTATCCTTCTGGTTCCCGTTTTCTTTCGCTTGTCCTTTGATTTCCCTTCTGGTTCCCGTTTTCTTTCGCTTGTCCTTTGATTTTCCTTCTGGTTCCCGTTTTCTTTCGCTTGTCCATTGATTTTCCTTCTGGTTCCCGTTTTCTTTCGCTTGTCCTTTGATTTCCCTTCTGGTTCCCGTTTTCTTTCGCTTGTCCTTTGATCCAATGTTATTTCTTCTGGTTCCCGTTTTCTTTCGCTTGATAATTGCTGTTTCTTCTGGTTCCCGTTTTCTTTCGCTTGTCTATTGGTGTTCCTTCTGGTTCCCGTTTTCTTTCGCTTGTCCTTTGATTTTCCTTTTGTTCTTTTGTCCATCGATTTTGCTCTTGTTCCCTTGCCTTTGTTCATTGTTCTGAGAGACCTGCTGCCGAGAGCTATCTACTTGTCTTGATAGACTGTTGCATCTTTTCCCTTGTGCTTCTCATTCTAATCTTGTCTTTAAAGAATATATATTTTTCTAAATTCTGGTATAATTATCTGTTAATATTTTAGTTTAATTGTCTATTGCGAGATCATTTTCCTTTGTTCATTTCTAAGACAGTTTTTCTTTTTCGTTTCTCTTTCTCCTTTTTTTTTCTTCATTTTAAACAATATTCCGATATATAAAGATTGAAGCGTTGAATTTCTCCTAAAATGCTCCCTAAAATAAATTCCTCACGTGTTATGTTCTAAACGCTGATCCATAATGGCTTCCTATTTCTTACTCTTTTTCCTCCGCCTGATATTCCATAATTTTCCCCCTCGTAACCTTGTATATATTTCCATTATATTAAGTCATCTGCTGAGCCCGATCGATCGAGGACAATTGTATATATATGATGCACAATATCCTGTAGCCTGAATCTCATGCGACATTTCGGACACTCCCTGACCCCAGCCGCTTGTCCTCCTGCCTCGAACTGCTCCCTTATCGCCCCCTTATCGCCTCCAGGGAGCTGTTCCGCCTCCGGAAGGCCTTCAAGATGAAGTTCAAGCAGCAGGCGCTGGAGGGCGACCCGAGGAAGGCCCGCATGAACTTGGACGACCCTAATCCAGATAACCTGCCGGGGCCGCTAAGGGTGTGCGCGCTCGCCCTCAACCAGATCAAGGGCTTCAAGGAGCACCTGCCCCTCGTGTCCGTGCTGTGCAACAAGGGGCTGAGGGCCAGGCACTGGGAGAACCTCAACAAGGCGGCGGGATTCGACATCACGCCCAATGCTGGCACCAGGTGAGGGTGGGTGCGGGTGCGGGCGGGGTACAGGGCAAGGGATGATGATTGTAAATGTAGGTTTATTGAAATACAGAGATAAATGTAGAAAGTACAAATATAAACACACAAAAGCACAAATTTGCTCATGCTCGTTCCTATACCAAGCGTGTACACACTATACACATGCACATATATGGATTGCTCATATGCATACACCACACGTACCATACGTAAGCTCACACATATACCAACACAGGCACGCACATATACATACACATCTCGTACATAAATACATCACTACCACCACCGCCAAGAAAACAAACAGACAAACACAGAAAGCTCCGAGAGAGAGACACAACAAACCCATTGTTTAGACGTACAGCCGCCTCCCCACACCACAGTACCACACAACACCTTTCGAAAGAGGATTCCCCCACTCATATCCCCCTCACATCCCTCCTTCCCTCCCTCCCTCCCTCCCTCCCCGTCCCAGCCTGCGGAAGGTGGTGCAGATGGACCTCGGAGGACTGCTGAAGGAGTTCGAGGTGGTGAGCAGCGGCGCCTCGAGGGAATACAACCTGGAATTATCGCTGGTCAACATGAAGGCGCTGGAGTCAGCGCGGCTCTCCTTCGCCCAGAATCCGTGAGTGATCAGGCGCGATCGTTGTGGATTCCTGTTTCGTTTTTGTTTTTTTTTTTTGCTTTTTTTATTCAATTATTGTTTTAGATGTATTTCCTTCGTTGTGGATTCCTGTTTTTTTTTTTATTTTTTCGTTTGCTTCTTTTTTGTTATATCTATTGTTTTTTATGTTTTTTCCCTTTCGTTGTGGATTCCTGTTTCGTTTTTTTTTTTTTCGTTTGCTTTTATTTATAATTATTGTTTTAGATTTATTTCCCTTCGTTGTGGATTCCTGTTTCGTTTTTTTTTTTCGTTTGCTTATATCTATTTTTAGTTCGTTGGATTCCTGTTTCGTTTTGTTGTTTTTCTCGTTTGCTTTCTTTGCTTTTTATTTATATCTATTGTTTTAGATTTATTTCCTTTCGTTGTGGATTCCTGTTTCGTTTTGTTGTTTTTTTCGTTTGATTTTATTTATATCTATTGTTTTATGTATTTCCCTTCGTTGTGATTCCTGTTTCGTTTTGTTGTATTTTTCGTTTGCTTTCTTTGCTTTTGTTTATATCTATTGTTTTAGATTTATTTCCCTTCGTTGTGGATTCCTGTTTCGTTTTTTTGTATTTTTCGTTTGCTTTCTTTGTTTCTATTTATATCTATTGTTTTAGATGTATTTCCCTTCGTTGTGGATTCCTGTTTCGTTTTGTTTTTCATTTGCTTTCTTTGATTTTATTATATCTTTTTTTAGATTTATTTCCCTTCGTTGTGGATTCCTGTTTCGTTTTGTTGTATTTTTCGTTTGCTTTCTTTGTTTTTGTTTATATCTATTGTTTTAGATGTATTTCCCTTCGTTGTGGATTCCTGTTTCGTTTTATTGTATTTTTCGTTTGCTTTCTTTGTTTTTATTCATATATTGTTTTTTTTATGTATTTCTCTTCGTTGTGGATTCCTGTTTCTTTTTTTTTGTATTTTTCGTTTGCTTTCTTTGTTTTTATTCATATCTATTGTTTTTTTTTATGTATTTCTCTTCGTTGTGGATTCCTGTTTCGTTTTTTTTTTGTATTTTTCGTTTGCTTTCTTTGCTTTTGTTTATATCTATTGTTTTAGATGTATTTCCCTTCGTTGTGGATTCCTGTTTCTTTTGTTGTATTTTTCGTTTGCTTCTTTGTTTTTGTTTATATCTATTGTTTAGATGTATTTCCTTCGTTTCGTTTATTGTATTTTCGTTGCTTTTATTTATATATTTATTTTAGATTATTTTTTTTTTACCTGCTTTCTTTTGTTTATGTTATTTTATTATAATACTTCTTGAAAACCTGTACGATTATGACTATTCTCCGAAACTTCCACTTTAGATGACAACTTTGTAAAACTTTTATCCATAAGTCAAGTCCTTACAACATACATTAATACGACATCCACAACCCCGTCCCTCCCAAAACGACAAAAAAAAAAATAGTGCTTGAAAGAACGTCCCTTCACGCGAACGCCTTCACAACCAAGCATAAAAGCAGTAATTCTCGGCCCTTCACCCCCTCCTACAGGGACGTCGGCGTGCAGGTCCTCGACCGGCTGGAGGAGGTGAGGGAGCTGGCGGAGGAGCACCTCATCACGACGCACACCATCAAAAATTCTCCCTTTGTTGGGCCCTTTGTAGGTAAGAAGATGGGGGGGGGGGGATGTCGATAAAATCATGAAGAAAAGGTGTGTATGTTCTTAAAAGGCAAAATTTGTGTGGTGTTAGTATCTTATGAAGGTGGGGGTGGGGGGGGGGGCGAGCTCCCGTTGTATTGGATTCAGACCGAGAGAATTTTAGTAAAATTCTTAAAGAAAAGGTGTGTATGTTCTTAAAAGGCAAAATTTGTGTGGGTGTAAGTATCTTATGAAGGTGGGGGGGGCAGCTAGTGTTGTGTTGGAATCAGACTGCGAGATAATTTCAGTAAATTCTTAAAAAACGTGTGTATGTTCTTAAAAGGCAAAATTTGTGTGGTGTAAGTATCTTATGAAGGTGGGGGGGGGGAGGGGGGGCGAGCTCCTGTATTGTATTCAGACTGCGAGAAATGTCGATAAATTCTTAAAGAAAAGTGTGTATGTTCTTGAAAGGCAAAATTTGTGTGGTGTAAGTATCTTAAGAAGGTGGGGGGGGGGGCGAGCTCCGTTGTATTGGATTCAGACTCCGAGGAATTTGAGTAAATTCTTAAAGAAAAGGTGTGTATGTTCTTAAAAGGCAAAATTTGTGTGGGTGTAAGTATCTTATGAAGGTGGGGGGGGGGGGGGCGAGCTACTGTATTGATTCAGACTGCGAGAGAATGTCGATAAAATCATGAAGAAAAGGTGTGTATGTTCTTAAAAGGCAAAATTTGTGTGGATGTAAGTATCTTATGAAGGTGGGGGTGGGTGGGGGGGGCGAGCTCCCGTTGTATTGGATTCAGACCGAGAGAATTTAGTAAATTCTTAAAGAAAAGGTGTGTATGTTCTTAAAAGGCAAAATTTGTGTGGATGTAAGTATCTTAAGAAGGTGGGGGGGGGGTCGAGCTCCTGTATTGGATTCAGACTCCGAGAATTTGAGTAAATTCTTAAAGAAAAGTGTGTATGTTCTTAAAAGGCAAAATTTGTGTGGGTGTAAGTATCTTATGAAGGTGGGGGTGGGGGAGGGGGGCGAGCCTGTATTGTATTCAGACTGCGAGAGAATGTCGATAAAATCATGAAGAAAAGGTGTGTATGTTCTTAAAAGGCAAAATTTGTGTGGGTGTAGTATCTTATGAAGGTGGGGGGGGGACGAGTTCCTGTTGTGTTGTGTTCAGACTGCGAGATAATTTCAGTAAATTCTTTAAGAAAATGTGTGTGTTTGAATAAAATTCTAATAACATCATGAAGAAAACGTGTGTATGTTCTTCAAAGGCAAAATTTGTTTGGATGTAAGTATCTGTAAGTGTCAGCTGATTTGAATAATAAAATGTTTGTCGAATCGGATTGCTCCAGAGTCAGGGGTGAGTTGCCAGTTCCTCCTTTCCTGAAATGAGACGCCCTGGATTAATCTATACTCATGTGTGTGTGTGTGTGTGTGTGTGTAGTGTGTGTGTGTGTGTGTGTGTTCAGATGTAAGTGCATGCGTTTCAGGATATGTGTGTAGAACCTTTCCGTACTATGTTATTATGCTTACAAATATATACGTACAGTTCCTACTGCAATTCCTGATCCATTCCGGGTAAATGTAACATAAATATTATTACAGCTTTTACTTTGTTTTACGCTGACGACCTACTTCGTAAAGGTTATATTCGCATACAATTTTTTCATTTTTTTTTTGGAAAAGCGAGTGTGATATTGGCTAGTTTTTTTTCGCCAAGACTTTGTGTGAACTTTATATAAACAATGTAGAACATATCTCATATAATGCAATACTGAAGATCCTGGATTGCTATACATCCTTGCAAGACATGACGTGGATTCACAGAGGCATTTCTTAACATGTTTGTGACAGGTTCTTCATTTTTGAGTGGGATCTTTTAGCGTTCACATACCAACTACCATCTGGCCAGTGACCCGTTATGTACAAAGAACAGAAATGATTAACGTGTTATGTACAAAGTATGTTATGTAACCCGCTATGTACAAAGAGCAGAAGTGTTTTCTTTAACCCAGAAACTACGACATACTTCATATGATGAACAACGTGTAACTGCGACTTACATCATATGGTGTGAAAGCTATTTTTGAACTTGAAATGACGTTTGGCAACTCGGGCAACTTCACTACACCACCGCGCCTGAACTTAAGGGAAATTATGAGCGAATATTTAGTTTTCCTGTATTTTCCATGCAATCTTTCATTTCATAACAGGAAAAAAAAACTTTTTTATGCCGACAATTGAGCTCCACGGTTGTATGTGTCGTGCGTGCGTGTGTGTGTGTGTGTGTGTGTGTGTGTGTGTGTGTGTGTGTGTGTATGTATGTATGTATGTATGTGTTTGTGTGTTATGCTTGTTTATTACTTAGGATGAAGTAAGGCAGGAACCCTATTGCACAGTTTATGAGTTACGAGTTGCCTCAGGACTTCTGGAAGGGGCTGTACCCTAAATACATTAAAAATACACACACTATGGATAGAAACATCATATATTGAAGTGAATGACCAGCCGAATACACAAGGATAATACGATGGTCTCTTTCTAACCTCGCTCACTGCAGATGACGTAAAAGTCTGGGAAGCAACATTGCGAATGGTACACGAAGCTCTCACAGTGTGGATGAAGGTACAGTGTTCATGTAAATTTCGTATAAAAATAATTACATAGGGATATTCAAGTTCATTTATGTATATCAAAAGCAAATTATCTTCTAATGAAAATAATTGAAAATAATATCTATACATAGGGAGATTCAAATACATTTATGTATATCAAAAAAACATTATCTTCTAATGAAAATAATAATGAAGGGACGCAAATGATATGAAATTACAGAAATTTATGATAAAAAAATAATAATGAAGGGACGCAAGTGATATGAAATTACAGAAATTAATATGTGGTTTAGATCAGTCTTTCACACACGTCCTCAGGTGCAGACGATATGGGTGGAATTGACGCCCATCTTTTCGACTCCTGACATCCCTCACCAACTGCCTGACGAGAACCAGCTTTTCAAGGTCAGCCATCTATTCACCATCTGTTATAGGGCCTTTGTCTTTTTTTGTATAATTTCTGTGATTCTTTTTGTGTAATTGCTATGCTCTGCGTTTTTAGTCTTTGTATGTTATTTGGGTCATTTCTTTCTTACACACTCTCTCTCTCTCTCTCTCTCTCTCTCTCTCTCTCTCTCTCTCTCTCTCTCTCTCTCTCTCTCTCTCTCTCTCTCTCTCTCTCTCTCTCTCTCTCTCTCTCCCTCTCTCTCTCTCTCTCCCTCTCTCTCCCTCCTCCCTCCCCCCTCCCTCCCTCCCTCCCTCCTCCCTCCTCCCTCCTTCCCTCCTTCCCTCCTTCCCTCCTTCCCTCCCTCTCCCTCCCTTTCTCTATATCTCTCTTTGTCTCAGTCCTTTTCTCTTTCTTCTTAATCTGCCCAGCAAAGACTATTTACCAACTCAAGTAAAATGCAAACACCTTATATAATAAGACGCACCTCCCTCCCTCAGGAAGTCGACCTGAAGTGGGTGTCTGTGATGGACAAGACGGTCTCCTCAGAACGCCTCCTCGACGTAGTGGCCGACGAGAAGACGCTGAAGGAGGTGAGGTCGTGTCTCCAGAACTTCGCCGTCATCCAGAAGGCCGTCCACACTTACCTCGACAGCAAACGGCGCGTCTTCCCCAGGTGGGTCGTCGGGGAGGACAAGAAAGGAGGGCGAGTTTGGGGATCTGTGCGAATGCGGGTCATGTTGTGTGTGTGTGTGTGTGTGTGTGTGTGTGTGTGTGTGTGTGTGTGTGTGTGTGTGTGTGTTTGCTTATTTGTTTACTTGGGAGGAAGTGAGGCGTGTTTCATTACCTTTCGTATTGGAGTATGGTTAGATGAAGCTATATTATGGAATTGTCCTTTACTGTAGGAGGTTCATGAAGAGACTGTATGCATTTTTACACTCTTTGGTGTATTTGGCACCTTAGAAACGCTTGTATGCTCAGGGTATATCCACCATCATTGGTTAGCATTACATTTACGAGTCGTGTGCCTACACACCAAGCCAGCCATCTCCCGAGAACGCAGAATCCCTCCCAAGGCCAACCACGTCGTCCTTGCAGGTTGTACTTCCTATCCAACGAGGAGCTGACGGCGCTGCTGTGTGAGACGGAGGCGGCGCGGCTGCAGGACCACATCAGGAAGTGCTTCGACGGCGTCCACGCACTCCTCCTGGACGAGCAGGACGCCATCTACGCCGTTTCCAGCAAGGAAGGAGAGACCATCAGCCTCCTGAAGAAGCTACCCGCGTCGCAGGCCCGACAGAGCATCGAACACTGGCTGCTGCAGGTAAGGCTCAAATTGGCACAAGGTAATTTAATACAGGTTGCCCCATTTTGCTTTACTGAAATTCCTTGTTGGCAGTTTCTGAGGTAACCCCGCCTCTTTGCCTTTATTCATTCCAAATATTGAATATTATTTTAATTTGTTTGTTCCTTGGATTGACTGGAGGCATGAGCTGACTGGTCTGTTTTATTTATGCATCAGGTAGTTCGGTGGATCAGCTTGAATCGGTTGGCATTTATATTCGGTGTAATATTTTCCCGTTTTCTTCCAAATCAAATGGAGGATTTTTATATCTATATTTGGTGCAATATCTTCCCCGTTTTCTTTATAAAGAGACTATTATTGCCGGGGAAAGTAAGACTGCCCTTCCATTCCTCCAGTTCCAAGAGGCCATGACCAACACCCTCAAGATGAAGACCTGTTCCGGCGTGGAGAAGTGGACCCGGCGCGGGGGCGGAGGCGGGGGGCGGGATCTGGAGAGCATCGTGCCTCCGTGGCCCCTGCAGGTGACGCTGACGGTGCGCCACGTGTTCTGGACGGCGGAGGTTCACCAGGCCATCTGCGGCGGCACTCAGGCTCTGCGGGAGTGCCTCACGAGGGTCGAGGTGCGGCTCAGGATTTCGTGTGAAGATGCCTTATTTACTTTTACGTTTACTTTATTCTTTTTATCTTTTAATTCTTATCTTAGGGCTCTATCTCTCGTGTTTCGGCTCCTGTGGTGTAAATACCGTAATGGCCATTTCGCAATAGCGTGTAGACAGACAAAATATCTATTGAACTTTCCGCTCGGTCTGATACCCAGCGACCATCATCTTTTCTCGAATCCTCAGTCTCCTCTTCCCCAGGGCGAGGTCCACACGATCGTCGCGGCGCTCCGGAAGACGCACCTGGACAGCGGCAGGCAGTCCTCGCGCACGCCCGCCGCCTCGCCCCCCTCGTCCGCCGCCTCGGACGCGTCGCCCCGCACTCCGCCCTCTTCGGGGAGAGTGGGCGCCGGGTCACGCCTCACGCCCTCGCCCTCTCGCCACGCCCTCTCCGTCCTCATCCTGTCCGCGGTGTACGCCAGGGACGTCCTGAAGGAGCTCATTGATCGCGGGGTCACGGACGAGGAGGCCTTCTGCTGGCTGGCGCAACTCAGGTCAGTAGCGGCAAGGGTCAAGGTTACACTGCGAGCGGAAGGGGTTAAGGAGGTCAGGAAACATATTCTTATAAGCTATACAGGTCCAGCGCAAACTTCAACTTCAACAAACTTTTCTAAAAGAGAAAGAAAACGTATTGTTATGATAAGTTTCAGAAAACAATTACGTTTCCTCATCGTATTCATGTACATAAACATAGAATATTCTTGATTATGCAGCAGTGTATTAGCACAGACATTAGAATACAGCCTGTTCAACTGAACGAAAAGTGAACACAGGACAGTTCCTTTACCTCTTCCTCCATTCGTGTCCCATCTGAAAACCGTAAGGACATCAGACACAGATCCAACCTGTTGATGTGAATAAAAAGCGAACACAGGACAAATAACGTTCATCTCCCTCTTCCACCCTTCTTGTTCCATCTGAATAACAGTAAGGACATCAGACACAGATCCAACCCATTTAACTGAACAAAAAGCGAGCACAGGACAAATGACGTTCCTCTACCTCCCCAACCATTCTTGTCCCAACATCTGAATAACAGTAAGGACATCAGACACAGAACCAACCTGTTTATGTGAACAAAAACCGAACACAGGACAAATAACGTTCCCCTACCTCTTCCACCCATATTGTCCCAACATCCAGAATAACCGTAAGGCAACCTGTTCATGTGAACAAAAACCGAACACAGGACAAATAACGTTCCTCTCCCTCTTCCACCCTTATTGTCCCAACATCTGAATAACAGTAAGAACATCAGACACAGATCCAACCCATTCATGTGAACAAAAAACCGAACACAGGACAAATAACGTTCCTCTCCCTCTTCCACCCTTATTGTCCCAACATTAGGCAGATCCAACCTGTTTATATGAACAAAACGGAACACAGGACAAATAACGTTCCTCTCCTCTTCCACCCTTACTATCCTAACATCTGAATAACAGTAAGAACATCAGACACAGATCCAACCTGTTCTTGTGAACAAAAACTGAACACAGGACAAATACGTTCCTCTCCCTCTTCCACCCTTCTTGTCCCAACATCTGAATAACAACAAGGACATCAACACAGATCCAACCCATTCAACTTGAACAAAAACGGAACACAGGACAAATAACGTTCCTCTCCCTCTTCCATCCTTATTGTCCCAACATCTGAATAACAGTAAGAACATCAGACACAGATCCAACCCGTTCATGTGAACAAAAACCGAACACAGGACAAATAACGTTCCTCTCCCTCTTCCATCCTTATTGTCCCAACATCTGAATAACAGTAAGAACATCAGACACAGATCCAACCCGTTCATGTGACAAAAACCGAACACAGGACAATAACGTTCTCTCCTCTTCCATCCTTATTGTCCCAACATCTGAATAACAGTAAGAAACATCAGACACAGATCCAATCCGTTCATGTGAAAAACCGAACACAGGACAAATAACGTTCCTCTCCCTCTTCCATCCTTATTGTCCCAACATCTGAATAACAGTAAGGACATCAGACACAGATCCAACCCGTTCATGTAAACAAAAAACGAACACAGGCCGAATAATGTTCCTCTAGACGCCCCAACCCTTATTGTCCCAACATCCAGAATAACCGTAAGAACATCAGACACAGATCCAACCCGTTCATATGAACAAAAACCGAACACAACCTCCAGCACAACTTCAACACGGACTCACGCCTCTGAACCCGAAGCAGATACTACATGAAGGAAGACGAAATGGAGGCGAGGATGCTCCACTGTCCCTTGCCTTGGGGCTGGGAGTACGTGGGCGCCGAGGGGAGGCTGGTGGTCACGCCCCTCACCGCCCGCGCCTACCACACCCTCGTCACCGCCTATCACGCCCATCTGGGAGGGGCGCCCGAGGGTCCGGCGGGCACTGGGAAGACGGAGACGGTGAAGGTGGGGAGGTCTCCTTGGTTCGTGTGGGTTTGGTTGTTGGTTTGTGTTTATGTATAGATATATATTGGTATGTATGTGTAGATAAAAAAGTATGTGTGGATGTGTAGATATATAGATAGGTATAGAGAAAAAGGTAAGGTGATAAAAAGTGGTTTGTTTATTTATCTTCAGATTCAATATGTGTCTTTGTATACACTTATACACACTTTATTCCATACAGACAGACAAGCATACATACATGCATACACCACACAGACAGATATACTTACATACGTGTATACATACATACGTGCATACATACATATATATGTACATGCATACATGTATATATATATATATATATATATATATATATATATATATATATATATATATATATAATATATATATATATATATATATATATATATATATATATATATATACACACATATATATATACATACGTATATAAACACATAAGCATACACACATACATATAAACCTACAAAAGCCAAAGCGACAGGCACCCCACCTGCCTTGCCTCCCCCGCAGGACCTGGCTCGGGCGCTCGCCGTGAACTGCCTGGTGTTCAACTGCTCCGACGACCTCGACTTCATCTCGATGGGCAAGTTCTTCACGGGCGTGGCGGCGTCGGGCAGCTGGGCGTGCTTCGACGAGTTCAACAGGCTCGAGGTGGGCGGGGCTTGACAGGGGAGGAAGGGGCGAGGAGGGAGGTGGGCGGGGCTTGGCAGGGCAGGGCGAGGAGGAGGTGGGCGGGCTTGGCAGGGCAGTGGCTGGGCGGGCTTTGGCGAGGAGGAGGTGGGCTTGACAGGGCAGGGAGGGGCTTTGGCGAGAGGGAGGTGGGCGGGGCTTGGCAGGGCAGGGAGTGGCGAGGAGGGAGGTGGCGGGCTTGGCAGGGCAGGGAGTGGCGAGGAGGGAGGTGGGCTTGTGGCGGGGCTTGGCAGGGCAGGGAGTGGCGAGGAGGAGGTGGGCGGGGCTTGACAGGGGGGGGGGGGCGAGGAGGGAGGGGGCGGGGCGATGGGGTGTTTGGTCTTTTATTTGTATTATTTTGTTTATTTTATCTATTTGTTTATCTCTATTTTTTCATTTTTGCTTATCTATTTATTTACCTATTCATTATTTTATTCATGTATTACATATATTTATTTCTTTATTCTATAATCATCAGAGTGTTCTCACAGAAGGATTATTGTATACTATAATATATATGTATATAAATATATTTTTTTCTTCTTTCTTTCATTCATTTCTTGTGGGGGAGGACGTAAATCCAGATGTTTAGGGAAAAATTACCTCAGGTGGAAGATGTTGGATAAAATCATTGGAAAATGTTCCCTTATATGTTCATATACGATTTTATCTCTCTCTCTCTCTCTCATTCTTTCTTTCTCTTTTTATCTCTCTCTCTCTCTCTCTCTATCTATCTATCTATCTATCTATCTATCTATCTATCTATCTATCTCTCTCTCTCTCTCTCTCTCTCTCTCTCTTCTCTCTCTCTCTCTCTCTCTCTCTCTCTCTCTCTCTCTCTCTCTCTCTCTCTCTCTCTCTCTCTCTCTCTCTCTCTCTCTCCTGTCCTCCGTTCCTCTAATCCATTCAAATGAATCCTCATTCTTTAAGTATTATTATTGTTGTTATTATTATGACATTATTATTATTATTATTATTATCATTATCATTATCAATATCATTATTGCTAATATTGCTATTTATCATCATCATCATCGCCATTATTATTATTATTACCATTATTTTCATTCTTATTACTACCATCATCATCATCATCATCCCGCCCCTCATCCCCAGGTGGGCGTGCTGAGCGTGGCGGCGCAGCAGATCCTGACCGTGGTGCGGGCGCGGCGGGAAGGGCGCGGGACCTTCTCCATGGAGGGCGGTCTTCCTCTCGGCCTCAACGCCCAGGGCTTCTTGGCCGTCACTATGAACCCCAAGTACAGAGGGCGCGTCGCTCTGCCGGATAACCTGAAGGTGAGGGACGTCTGAAAGGAATCCTCGTGCCTGCTGCAGGAGGTGGAGGGGATGCGACGGTGGGCGGGGCTCGTGTCTACTGCAGGAGGTGGAGCGGTTGCGACGGTGGGCGGGGTTGTGTGTGTGTTCTTCAGGGTCTATATTTCCCTTTGTCTGTCTATTGAGTATATTTTTCATTGCCTATTGGGTATTCGATTGTCTATCAATTCCTTTGTTTATTGGGTATTCAACCGATGGTCTGTTTATCTACAGGATTTTTTTCATAATACAAAGTTGGATATTCCCAGCTTGAAATGTCAGTAATTTTCCAGACAATATTTTTTATTCATCATTTATATATTTAGTCGCAAGTTCATAAATCTCCTCCAAGTATGTAGAAAAATAGATAGAAAAAAGTGCATGAATTCCATAAATCACACCCCATCGGCCTCATTTTATTTTTTTATTTCATTTATTTTTTTCTTTTTTATTTATTTATTCTTTTTTTTATGTCAGTTGCCTTTCACACAATACTGATGAACTGAAGGCGACTGTAAGTCAAATAACATCACTCCGACACCATATTTTATAATTTCTATGAATGTGTTACCTTTCATACCAAATTAATTAACTGATGGCGACAGTAAGTCAAATAAAATCACAACTCCGACACCATTTTTTATAATTTCTATGAATGTCAGTTACCTTTCAGACCATATTGATGAAATGGCGACAGAAAATCAAATAACATCACTCCGACACCATTTTTTATAATTTCTATGAATGTCATTTACCTTTCAGACAATATTAATTAACTGATAGCGACAGAAAATCAAATAACATCACTCCGACACCATTTTTTATAATTTCTATGAATGTCAGTTACCTTTCAGACCAAATTAATTAACTGATAGCGACAGAAAGTCAAATAACATCTCACGTCAATCACCACCACCCTCCCCCTCCCCCTCCCCCCTAGCTCCTCCTCGGCCGGTGTCCATGATGGCGGCGGATTACCTGTCGATCGCCGAGGTGTCGCTCCTCTCGTGCGGCTTCGTTCACGCCCGCGCCCTCGCCGCCCGCATCGTGGGCGTCATGGCGCACTGTCAGGACATGCTGCATCCTCACCATCACTACGACTTTGGTTTGTGCTTTTGTTTACGTTTGTGGATTGGGTGGAGTGCTTCTGCTTGCGTGGGTGGGTGACAGAAGGAGAGGAGGAGGAGGGGGTGGAGGGATGGAGGGAGAGGTAGTAGGAGGGAGAGAGATGAAAGAGAGAGGGGGGAGAGAAGAGACGGAGAGAGAGAGATAGTGAGAGAGAGAGAGAGAGAGAGGCAGACAGACTGACATACAGACAGATAGAGAGATAGAGACATGAGAGACAGGCAGAGAGAGAGAGACAGACAGACATGACAGTCAAACAAAGAGAGATAGACAAATAGAGACAGAGAGAGAGAGACAAACAGAGAGAGAAATAGACAGACTTACAGAGGAACAGATAGACAGAAAGACAAACAGAGACACAGACAGGCAAACAGACAGACAGAGGGCGAATGTGCGAGAAGAGCCGCCTAACGGAGGCTCTCTTCTCCGCCAGGCATGCGAGCCGTGAAGACGGTGCTGGCGGCGACCTCCCGCCTGAGGACCTCCCTGCCGGAGTGGTCCGAGACCGAGGTCGTCCTCCGGGCCCTGAGGGAGGTCAACCAGCCCAAGTTGGTCGCCGACGATTACGAGAGGTTCGAGTCCATCCTTTCCGACTTCTTCCTCGAGCTCCCGCCGACGCCACGCCCACCGGCAGATAACCTGGTCAGCTGTTTGGAGAAGGTACGGCGGTGTGGGGGCGCGATGGTCGGAGAGACTGTGGATCTGTCTATTCCTTGGACCCGGATTATTAATTGTCTAGATTTATGAAAACAGAGAAACGAACAGCGTTAAACCATCTTTCTTCAACAAGGATATCTATTTGTATTTAAATTGATTAAAACAGAAAACTTTACTTTCGAAAATTCAATCTTTTTATAACTACTAAAAAAACGAATTTTACAGGATTCAGAATAGCCTCAAACCTTTCTTCACTTCACTTTTAACAGCCTCGAATATCTTTCCTTCTATACAGTATATCTTTTTTTTGTTTTTACTGAAATAAGAAACAAACTTCGAATCCTTTTCCTCGAAGGTGTGCGAGGAGCGAGGTCTTCTCGCGACGAACGAATTCCTGCTGAAGACGCTGCAGCTGTACGAGACCCTGAGGGAACGCCACGGGGTCATGGTGGTGGGGCCGCCCTGTGGGTCCAAGACAACGATCATTCAGGTCTGAAAGAAGACGCTCAGATAGGAAGAGGGAATTTAGACTCGATTCTGTAGGATGTTACTTAGGGACTTAGGATATTTTTTTTTCGGAGTATATCTAATGAAATACATAAAATATTTTTTAGGAGTCTTATATCTAATGAAATACATATTTTTTTTCGGAGTCTTATATCTGAAATACATAATAATATTTACTTGTATCCTTCATTTCATATTTGATGTATTCCTCGCAGACTTACCTTGCCTTTTTAGATGATAAAATTAAAAGCATGTTTAGATTTCTAATAGAATATTTTTCTGTGCAAAAGATACCCATGAAAACCGTAGCTGTGAGATAGTGAAATGTGGATAGCATGTTCCGTAGATTTTAACACGATATTGGCGAGAACAGAATTAGACCTTTTCAGTTACGCATGTGTGTGTGAGTGTGTATTTGTGTTTGTGTGTGTGTGTATGTATGTGTATATATGTGAGTGTTTTTGTGTATTGTGTGTGTGTGTGTATGCACATATTGTATGTGTATGTATGTGTGTGTGTGTGTGTTTCATCATTTTTATCATCTGAATCAATTTTCGTCAAGATTTCTAGCAACCACAAGCCCTCCAAAAAAAATTCATTCCCCCCCCCCTCCTCCACCTCCTCAGACTCTCTCGGCAGCCCTGGGCATGATGGAGGGGGACCAGCCCATCCGAGTGGAGGTCCTCAACCCCAAGACTCTGACGCAGGCGCAGCTGATCGGGTCCCTCGACCCCGTTAATAGAGAGTGGTCGGATGGACTCGTCGCGCAGGTCATCAGGTGTGCTGAGGGTCAAGGGGGTTTTTTTTGTTGTTATTGCTGTTATTGTTAATGTTATTGTAGTTGTTAGTTATATTATTATTATTATATTATTATTATTATTATTATTATCCTATGTAATAATATTATTGTTATTATCCTATGTAAATATTATTTATTACTATATTATTGTTGTTATTATTTTATTTATTTATCTGCATCATCATCACCATTGTTCTTGTTTTCTTTTTTTCAGTCTAGGAATAAGCTGACTTTATTCAAAGTATCGGTACTGAGATAAAATAGATTAAAGTGAATCAGTGAGATAAAGGGAGATTAATCAGATATCAGATTAATCAGATTCCATCCTGATAAAAAGAGACCATTTGATCTTCATATCAGTCATTTATCATTGAATATACTAATGAAACGAGATTATATTATAATGGCATGGTATAGGGGTATATTGATAGATTAGAATGCATCAATGTATGTATTGATATATTTATATATTGATAGATTAAAATACTATTTAAAAGATATATAGATAGATAAATAGATAGATAGATATTGATATGTGTATGTATTGATATATTGATATATTATAGATTAAAATACTATTAAAATATATATAGATAGAATAGATAGATAGATATTGATATATTGATATATCGTGCATTAAGATATATTATTAGATATTATATAAGATATATATATTATATATTTATATATATATATATATATATATATATATATATATATATATATATATATATATATATATATTAAAATATGACATGTCAACTAATTAAAATACCGTTAAAGATTAATATATATATACCAATATATCAATATATCGACCAATTAAAACATTCAACCCCCTTCAAACCTCCACAGAAACGCCCACGCCCAACGCACGTGGCTCCTGTTCGACGGCCCGACGGACGCCTCGTGGGTGGAGAACCTCAACACCGCCCTCGACGACTCGCAGAAGCTGTGCCTGCCCTCGGGGGAGACCGTGCCCGTGCCTGGGGACATGGCCACCATCTTCGAGGTCCTGGATCTGTCGCAGGGGGAGGGGAAGGGGGTGGGGGGTGGAATCTTAGGGGGTATGGTCTTAGTTTTTCTTGTTTATTTGTTTGGATGTGGGTGCGAGCTATATATATATATATATATATATATATATATATATATATATATATATATATATATATATATATATATATATTATATATATATATATGTATATATATATAATATATATATATAATATAGTATATATATATAATATATATATATATTATATATAATAGATATAGAGAGAGAGATGAGAGAGAGAGAGAGAGAGAGAAGAGAGAGAGAGAGAAGAGGAGAGAGAGAGGAAGAGGGAGGAGGAATGAGGGGGGAGGCGAGAGAGAGAGCGATAGAAAGAGAGAGCGAGAGAAAAAGAGAGAGCGGAGAGAAAGAGAGAGAGAGAGAGAGAGAGAGAGAGGCAGAGCAAGGGACAGAGACAGAGACAGAGAAAGGAAAAGAAAAACCCGACGAAAACAAAAGCGAAAGAATCTCAACCCCCCCTCCCCCCCTTCCCCTCCCGCAGGCATCCCCCGCCACAGTCTCGAGATGCGGCATGGTGTACGTGGGCGGCCAGACGATCGGGTGGGCGGCGCTCCTGCACTCGTGGCTACACCACCACGCCCACGGCCCTTTGGTGGGGGGAGTACGGCCTCCTGCGCGAGTTGGCCAACTGGCTCATCCCGCCCGCCCTCGAGTTCGTGAAGGCGCACTGCCGCTACCTGCTGCCCGTCGTCGAGGTATCGCTCGTCAGAGTGAGGAGTCGCGAATTGTTGAAGTTTGTGGGTCGAAAGTGATATTCGGTTGAGTTGTCGATATTTTCTTAATTAGACTGATTTTGTCGGAAGGTTTTATGTGGACGTGAGATCTGGTCTAGTATTATATTGTATTGTATGTCTATCATCAGTGTAATATAGTTTTCGATAGCGATAGTAAGGACTTTCTTATAATTTAAGAATGAATTTTATATCGGATATATATAATATACAATCTTAAGATAACTGTGAATATTCCGGTATTTTCAAGTTGTGGGAACGGGATAAATCTGGTCTTGAATTTTTCGGTTAAATTTACATTGTTGTGGGAGACCTTTCTTAATATTAGGACTGATTTACGAATTAGGATGATTTCCGGAAAGGTTGTTGGACAGGGAATCGTTTCTGGTTTTTCGAGAATTTTTCTTTAAGTTGGAAGTGAGAACTGATTTGCCGGACAAGGTGGCTTAAGGACTGGATCTTCCGGAAGGGATTGTGGACCACGACAAGGTGATAACCTGGTCTGGAGGTTTTTCGGCCTTCCATGATAAAGCAGTCAGCAAATCCGATACGAGACTTCCTTATGTTCCCTAGTACTTGATTTTCGGAATCTTGATACCACTGACTTTCCGTCGCAAATGCTGGCTTTGTAAGATAGTCTCACGAGGAGGGAATCGGATCTGTTTTCCGGATTTTTGTACTTCAAGTTAGGACTGATTTTGTCCGGAACTACCCTCTTAAACGTCCATTAATACCCGAGAGAGAGGGGCTGTCCAGGGCACCCCTAGGAGGAAACTGGGTCTGTTTTCGGTAATGAGTAGTGAAGGATTTTTCTTAATTAGACTGAATTTTCGGGAATCTTAGACTAGTGATTTCCGCCGAAACGTTCGTGGGCGGGGAACTAGGCCTCTGTTTCCTCGGTAGTTTCATTAACCCTAATAGAACTGGATTTCTCGGAACCTCTTAAGACTGATCTCCGGAATGAAAAGGTTGTCCGACGCGGAGATCTTGGTCTGCGTTTTCGCTGATCCCTCTCCACTCAAGACTTAGGACTGAACTTCCGGACAATCTTAAGACTGGATTTCCGAGCCAAAGGTGTGAGAAGCGCCGGAATCGGGCGTTTGTTTCGGATTTTCTTAAATTTAGTGACTTGGATCCCGGAGAGTCTTACAAGACCCCTGGATGCCGGGAAGGTGTGGACGCGGAACTGGTCTGTTTTTCGGGAGACTTTCTTAATGTAGACCGTTGCCATTTCCGAAGTTGTGAGACCGGGGAACTCGCGTCGTGGTCCCTTTCGAATTTTCCTAAATTAGACTGACATATTCCCGCAAGCTCGTCATCTTAGAATGATTTCAGAACGACCAGCGGAACGACGGTATTCGTTGGGGGGGAAGTATTCCCAGAGGGAGTGCTTGTGAATATTCGGGAGATGTTCACTGCTTTAGATGTTGAGAGGTCGGTCGAGTGTGAAGTGACGTTGCTCGTGTCCAAGTGCTCAGTCCAGAATGGCGGGGGGAATTTAATTGATTCGGGCGAGCAATGGGTTTCTTTTCGGGAGATTTTCCCACCTGTCTAAACTTGAAGGTCGGAAGGTTGTGGACGGAAAAATGGTCCGTTTCGGGAGATTCGGCCTCTTAAATTTGAAGGTCGTAAATGTTGTGTGAACGGAATGTTGAATTGTTGTCTGCGTCAGAATGCCAAATTCATTTGGTTCAGGGTTAGAGACGGATCTTTCATTTTCTTAAAGATTGTATTTTTTGCAGGAGGTTGTGAGGTAACGTGTAACCCTTGGAAAAAGCTTGTTTTCTGTAGCAGCCACCTGTTTCAGACCACTTCCAGCATAGAAATATGATCGGAAGGTTGATGAAACGGGAACTGGAAGAACTTTCGGGAGCAAATTAGTTTGTTTCCGGGAGATTCAGGTACTTATGGACTTAGAAATGGGCGGAATGGAAGTTGAGGCGTTGGGGAGCGAGAAAATTGCGTCCGTTTTCGGCGGAGAGATTCGGCTCTATGAGAGGATTGATATGTCGCTAAAGTGTGTACTATGTTTTCAAATGGTGCAAATACTCCCGTGTGTTGTTTGTTTTCTGGCGATTTTCTATTCTATAGATTCGAATGTGTTCGGTGAAGAGGTTTGTGAACCATTGGGAAATTGGTCTGTTTTCGGATATTTGTCCGAGCACCTCAAAATAAAGAAAAATTGAATTGAGATGCCTCGGACAGCCCGTTGAGACGGGACTGGTCTGTTTTTCGGGATATTTTCACTCATGAATTGTAAGGTCGAGAGGTTTTAGGAGGTAAATTAGTTTGTTTTTACGGAGTGGAAGATTTTCATTCTTAAATTTAAAGATCGGGAGATTGAGGTGGACGGAAATAGAGGATATGTTTCGGGGGCTACGAAATTGCTTTGCGTAGTATATTCTAGGTTTGCATTTCTTAGATTAATTTCCCTGTAAGGTTGTCTAAGCACGGACGTACCATTATCGATATTCTCTTTCGGGCGGTAGAATCTTCTACTCTCAAAATTGACAGACGAGGTGCTTTTCTGTGAAAAAAAATACTAATAGGAGTGAATTCGGTTTGTTTTCGTTTTGAAATTTCTTAATTCAGCATTTGAAGCTCGGAAGGTTTGTGCATGAGAATATAAATTTTTGTGTTTTGGAAGTCGACCCTCGGGAGGAGTTCCTTCATATTCTAAATTCTGTGAATTTGAGAAAAAGTGCTTCTTAACTAGACACGGTTGTGACAGTGAGACGAAATGTCGTGTTTCCCTTGTTGGATTGTTCCCTGTCTGAGGTCGTCGTAAGAACTGTTTGAAATCATAGGGCGGCGCGTTAATTGTTAGCCGTCCGTAAACAGTGATTATGTTATGGGTATAAAGTCAGTGATGAACAATTTGATATTCGTCATGGCATTCTGATGTCCCTAATTTCCTCTTTAAAGAATATCCATGTTCGCTCCACTTCATAAATAAAACAGAGCTATAACCAGCAAACTACGTGACCTAATTCAGTAACTCATCTCTTTCCCTCTTCTTCCTCTTCTCCCCTCCCCTCCTTTCTCCTCCCTTACCCCTCCTTCTCACTCCTCCTTCCCCCTCCGTCAACCATTCCTTCATACCCTCCCCCTCCACCTCATTCCCCTCCCTATATCCCCTTCACCTCCTTCCCCCTCCTCATTTTCGCCCCTCCCCTTCCCCTCCCCCTCCCCTCTATCACCTCCACCTCCTTCCCCCCCGTCCCCCCCCCCCATTCCCTTCCCTCCCCTCCCATTCCTCCCCTCCCCCCTCCTCCCTCCATCCCTTCCACCTCCTTCCCCCCCCCTCCTTCCCTCCGCCGTCCCCTCCCCTCCCGCCCCCAGGTCCATCTTCCCCCTGACGGCGACGGTGGTGAACGAGGTGCTCCAGGACGGCAGCATCTCGCAGAAGGACCGCCCGAAGGTAGGCCCCACCTGGACGACGGCCTCCTTCCTCTTCTCCGTCACGTGGTGCGTCGCGGGGGCGCTCACCCTCCCCGCCAAGGAGGCCTTCAACGTCTTCTTCAGGAGGCTCGTGATGGGTAGGAGGTCTCGCGTCAAGCACAGAGAGGTTTTCGTGGGAAAGATGGATGCTGAGATGACTTTGTATTTCCTTTATTAATCATATCCCTTATTAATTAAGATGCTATACACCTTATCACTTAAATCATCTCATTTATGCCATAACATTTATATCTACACTATCTCTTATCAATCTTATTCACTATTATCCCACTAATGTCTAATATCCATAAAAAATAAACTAACAGGCAACTCTTCGTCCCAGGCTATCATCGAGCAGATCGGTTGCCCTTACCCGGGGGACGGCAGCGTGTTCGACGTCCTCTTCGACGCCAAGCAGAGGTCCTTCTGGCGCCCCTGGACCGACGTCATCAAGCACACCGAGATAGAGGAGACGACCAAGATCTCCTCGCTCCTCGTGCCTACGGTGGAGTCGGCGAGGCGAGTGTTGAGGGGGTGGGGAGGGGAGGGGGGTTGTTGGAGTGGGAGGAGGGGTGTGTGTTTGTTTGTGCTTGTATGTGTGTGTGCGTTTGTTGTGCTTGTGTGTGTGTGTCCGTTTGTTTGTGCTTGTGTGTGTGTGGTGTGTGTGTGCGTTTGTTTGTGCTTGTGTGTGTGTGTGTTTGTATATGCCTGTCTGTCTATTTTGTCAGTACGTGTCTGCATTGCACGCATACGAACAACCACCAGTATCACAATCCTTCACACGCGCGCGCGCGCACACACACACACACACACACACACACACACACACACACACACACACACACACACACACACACACACACACACACACACACACACACAAAAAAAAAAAAAAAAAAAAAAAAAAAAAAAAAAAAAAAAAAAACACAACCCCGCCGCCCCCCAGACACACAAACACCCACACACACATACACACCCAAACAAACACCCCCACACACATACAAATCCCCCCCCAACACACAACATACAACCTGCCCCCCCCCCACACACACACCCAACCACCCCCCACCCACACACCCCAACAAACCAAAAAAAAAACTAACCCCCTCCCCCTTCCTCACCATCCACCAGACTCTCCTACCTCGTCGACGTGTGCGGGCGTGCGACCAACGGCATCCTCCTGGTGGGCGAGGGACAGAGTGGGCGGAAAGTGGTCGTGCGTCACCACCTCCAGAACCTCGCTACCGACGCCTCCGAGTACGCCCTCTTGCCTGTCACGCCCGCAGCCACCGCACTCTCCGTCAAGGTGGGTTTGGGCGTCCGTGGTTGACTGGGGTCGTTCTTTTATTGTGTTTGGTGGGGTGGTGGTTTCGTTGTTGTTGTTGTGGTGGTGGTGGTTATTATGATTTGTTTTTGTCAATTTTTATTATTGTTGTTGTTGTATTATATTATTATTATTATTATTATTATTGTCATTATTATTTTTGTTGTTGTTATTGTTATTATTATCATTCTTATTGTTGTGTTTGTAATTGTGTGTGTGTGTGTATGCATGCGTGTGTTTATGTGTACATGCGTGCGTACATGCATATGTATATGTGCCTTGTTTGCATGTGTATATCCCGCCAACTAACCTCCCAACTCCCCCCCCCCCCTCCTGCCTCTCCGCGCCCAGTCTGTGGTGCTTAGCTTCCTGGCGCCGCGAGAGACGGGCGGCTGGGGTGCCAAGGGCGGGCGGCGCTGGTCGTTTCATCGACGACCTCCACCTGGCCGCCCACGACGACTACCAGGCACGACCCGTCCACGAGCTGGTGCGGGAGGCCATGCAGAGGAAGAGCTGGTGAGTTTTCT